CAGTGCTCTCTGACCTGAAAGTTTATGTTCTAGAGATTTAGAAACATTTTCTACACAGAGGAAACATCCTGAGTTCATCTTTAAACTTCATAGCATTGCCCCAACAGTGTAAGAGGGTTCTCTTTTCTCCACACCCTCTCCAGCATTTATTGCTTGTAGACTTTTGGATAGCAGCCATCCTGACTGGCGTGTAATGGTACCTCACTGTGGTTTTGATTTGCATTTCTCTGATAATGAGTGATGTTGAGCATCTTTTCATGTGTTTGCAAACTAGCACAGCTGCTGTGGAGAACATTGTGGAGATTTCTTAAAAAACTGGAAATAGAACTGCCATATGACCCAGCAATCCCACTTCTGGGCATACACACCAAGGAAACCAGATATGAAAGAGACACGTGCACCCCAATGTTCATCACAGCACTGTTTATAATAGCCAGGACATGGAAGCAACCTAGATGTCCATCAGCAGATGAATGGATAAGGAAGCTGTGGTACATACACACAATGGAATATTACTCGGCCATTAAAAAGAATACATTTGAATCAGTTCTAATGAGATGGATGAAACTGGAGCCCATTATACAGAGTGAAGTAAGCCAGAAAGATAAAGACCAATACAGTATACTAATGCATATATATGGAATTTAGAAAGATGGTAACAATAACCCTATATGTAAAACAGAAAAAGAGACACAGATGTACAGAACAGACTTTTGGACTCTGTGGGAGAAGGCAAGGGTGGGATGTTTCAAGAGAACAGCATCAAAACATGTATATTATCTAGGGTGAAACAGATCACCAGCCCAGGTTGGATGCATGAGACGAGTGCTCAGGGCTGGTGCACTGGGAAGACCCAGAGGGATTGGGTGGAGAAGGAGGTGGGAGGGGAGATCAGGATGGGGAATACATGTAAATCCATGGCTGATTCATGTCAATGTATGGCAAAAACCACTACAATATTGTAAAGTAGTTAGCCTTCAACTAATAAAAATAAATGGGAAAAAAATAAAATAAAATAAAAATAAAAAATAAATAAACTTCATAGCTTACTTGAAAAAATTAAGTTTTTATGATTTGAAGGTGCTAGTGATATGTTTTAAAATTTTATTTTAGAGTAGCTCTCTGTCTAAATTTGAAAGAATACTTGAAAGTCTCTAAGTTTATCTTGTCTTTACTTTTTGAGAAAGTCAGGCTGCCTGTATTCAAAGTATCTAAGTATTTCCTTTGAAACCAGTATTATTGCCTTGTCCTGAAATTAAAAACAAACAAAAAAATTAATTGAGGTATTAATCCTACTGAATTAATAAAATAATATATAGGAAAATGACAGATCCACAAAACCATAGGCTATCCAAATTTCTATAACACTTTATGTAAAAAATTCTTTCTATAACAGCTCTGACAGATGATCATTCAGCTCACACATTTCAAATGATAGGGAACTTGTCACACTTCAAGGCAGTCACTCCATTGTAGGACAGTTCTCATATTTTGAAAAATCATGTGGTGGAGAATCAGAAAATATATGTCCAAGTTAACTTACTCCTATCCCCAAACCACTTGTTCCAATCTAGTGGCTCAAACTAGAAAAAAAATTCCAATCACAGGTCAGATTGAAATAAGCCTGAGCCCAGTCCCCAGGGACTTGGCATAGGATCTCATGTGCCGCTGATATCTCCCATTGTCCCAGTTATAATAAGAGAATAGGGGTTGAATCTTATTTCCAGATGACACACCCTAAATAGTTTCAGAAAAACATCAAAGTTTAGAATGAGAAGGAACCCACAAGAGAGTACTGGATGGGGTTCAGTCAGGAAAAGAGGAGTCGGCTGGCTATCAAGAGTTTAATGCAGGAAATTGGATACACAGAAGATAGATAGCTGCAAAAGTGAAAAGGGGGTCACCGAGGCAACACACAGGTAGTCACTGCAGGAAGCAAGTATGACGCCTCAGACTTGAGGAGCAAAGGGAAGAGAATCTAGAAGCTCCTAAGAAAGTGTCATGGAGCTGGGACCCAGCCCTCGGAGGACACTGCCCGGCTGTTGCTCTTTCCTCTCGGTTAGGGGCAAGTCCCAGGAGGCTGGTCTGGAAGTGAAGGGAACAAAAAAATGAGAATACCCAGCCAACTCAGATATATAATCTTCATCATCAAATCTCTATTTCCCTAGGGCATCAGAAATTATATTTTTAGATTGCTTAAGATTACCTTAAAATATTCACAGATGGTCTAAATACAGGCAGAAAAGCACAGGGACTCTGTGAAATTTTGAATCTTAGCTCTGCCACTTTCAAGGTGATCTTGAGTAAATTACTTTGGTTTCTTGTTACCTGGTGATAAGAATGTTCATTTAGTTATTCAACAAATACATGGAGCGCCTACCATGTGCCTGCCATTGCTCTAATGGTTGGGGACCAGTGAATCACTCTGCACTCAGTGCGCTTTCCATTGCAGTGCAGGAAGGCAGGAAATAAACCAATAAATATATAAAATGTTAGGTGGCAGTAAATAATATAAAAAAATAGATCAAAGTAGGCAAGTAGAGAATGACAAGAGGGATATTTTTACAGAGTGCACAGCAAAGACCTGTCCAATGATGTAACATCTTAAGGAAAGGAGGGAGGCATGTTGAGGTCTGGAGAAGAACTTTTCAAAGAGTGGGAACCAGACGTGCCAGGGTCCTGCAATGGAGACTGCTTAGCAAATTCAGTGAGTGGCAAGAGGGGGAGCAAGTAAGAGAAGAGATCAGGAGCTGTGGGGAGGGGGTTGAGAAGTAGGACTAGATCCTACAGAGCCTGTTCATCATGGGGTTCCACTGCAGATTTGAGAGCAGAGGACTAACATGACCTGAATTGTCTTAAAAGTGCTGGGTTGAAGACAGACTGTGTCAGAGGCAGCAAGGGAGACAGGGGGCAATTAGGAAGCTATTGCTGTCATTTAGGCAGAAAATGATGGTGGCTTGGAAGCGGGTGTTGTGTGGAGATGTTGAGAAATGATTGCATTATGGGTAACTTTTGAAGGACAAATCAACAACATTGCTGATATACAGAAAGAGGAGAAGTAAAGGGTGTTCCCAGAGTCTGGGCAGCAGGAAGAATGGAGATGTTACTGAGAAGGGAAAGAAAGATGGAAGGGGTGGTAAATCATGAGAAGTCTGTTATGAGATAATAAATTGATGAAATGAATAAGATGATGTAAATAAAACTAGTGTGCTCCTTGCTCACAATGAGGTTTGGCCAATCTTAGCCCCCTTATCTTTTATTCTTTGTTACCTATTTATGTTCTCAGGATGCATTTGTGAACTATCCACACACCCCTCCCTTTTTACTCACTACTTCTCTGCAGATCAGTATACAGTCAAAACATTTCCATGACAGGCAGAGGTCAGCTAAACCTCACCCAGAAAAACCTCCAACAGACTGCAGAATCAGCAGAGAGAGATACATTTCATTTTTAAATAAAGAAAGAAAAATATCTGATGCCAAAACAACATGCATGGCAATCCTCCTAGTTCCTCAAAGTCCTTGAAGTACTTCAGTACCTAAAAGTTTCTCTGGCACTGCTTGTTTTTTAATAGAAATTCTGTGAAGAGTGAAATGTAATATTTCATAGGCATTTTTTTTTGAATTTTTGAAGAGAGACTAGAAAACTGAAGTTACAAAAAAAATCTGTATAAATGCTTATTGCATATAAATCTCTTGGCAAAATTTCCTAGTTGTTTTTATTCTTTTTGACTAAAATTTTGAAGCATAGTATTAAAAGGAAATAAGTGATGCAAATGTATTAGACAAATATGTCTTAGCAGTATTTTATCAAAAGCCAACCCCCAAAATAACCAACATAAATAGAAGCATACAGTCAACATACAAAAAATATGCTTGGTTCTTTAAGATTCTTTACTGCAGATTCATTTGAAATGTCAGTATTCAGTTCACATATCTCTATACTGTTAAGAATCATCAGCATTTAACTTATGAGTGTTTTTTGTGGGAAAGATTCTGCTGTTTAAAATTCAGTTCAATCCCCTTGGTTTGAGTTGAGGAATACTTACATCTTGTGTTTTTCCCAAAGCCCTCCTATAGAGCCCTCCCAATTATCCATAATTAATCAAATCTTTAATCGAAGGTAGGATGCAGCCCCCACCCCCCTTCCCCACCCCAGCTTAAGGGCAATAACAGAGAATAACAGAGCCCAGGGACAAATCACACATGTGTCCCATGGTTGCTGCTACTCTGTTTCCCAGGAACAGTGTATGTATGGCTTCTAGTCTATGTGTAGCTTCACGTAGCATTCGAAGCTGAGTATAATGATGGCTTATGAAATAAATCCTACAACCAGCCAAAAAGCAGCTGAGGGCCCACTGTGGACAGGAAGCACACAAGAACAGACCAGCTTGCCTCAAGGATTGCGTGCCTTGAATGTGTTCATGAAATTACCCAGCAGTGGAAGGACAAAGCCCCCAGCTTTGCCACGGAGACATAGAGGCAAACAAGGACCTCTTTCGGTGCTTGGCAAGGAGGAGCATTGGCAGAGACAACTGAACCCTTGTAGACATCTAGGTTTATGACTCATGGTTGTTAATACTAAGTTGTGGTATGATAGGAACTTCTCAGGCTCCTCAAGGTACACAGTGGAAAGCAAAGTTCTCAGCAAGTATGCCAGCATTTAAAACGCAGCAAAGTAGTTGGCACAGGTGGTGAGAGGCCTGGAACTGACTACACAGTCTTTTGTTCATGGGTTTCCAAGTATAACTTTCCTAACTCATGACTAGAAAATAATTTATCCCCAGGAAGAATCTACTGATTAATACTTTTTTTTTAAGCTTTAATCCTTTAAGTCCCACGTTTAAGGTAGGAGCAAGATTTACCCAGGTTTCATCATTCTAATTATTAGCAATTTTAACTCTCCTGACACCAAGTCCATTTTCTAACTGGGATAGCCCTGCCCTTTGACTTAGATGGGAAAGAAAATTGATTTTGACTGGTATGCTTTTAAATTTCAGGAATAGTTGCTGTTCTCTTCTGTGGAGTCACGCAGGCACATTATACCTACAACAACCTGTCATCGGATTCCAAAATGAGGACTAAACAGGTAAAAGAAGAAACTCACTACAAGCTTTGCCTCTTTTCTCAGTGTAATGATTATGGAGCAATTCTGGCACTGCACCCAGAAAGAATTTCATTAGCAAAGGAAGAAAGTAAGCTTAAGGCTTCATTATAGGTTGGATATTTATGGATTTTTTTTTCTTCCTTCAGGATAACTATTAACAATTCTCTTGGTAAGCAAAAACATAGTTATAATAGTCTTTCCGTCCTGAGAAATGTGGAACATAGACTGTCAGTCTTGAAGATGAAAGGCCCACAGTCAGTAATAATTCACAGTCACTTACATCTAAAAGCATTGTAAAGCATGTGAGATTGGGTAGTTATATATAGAGAAGGAAATGAAGAAGAAGAAAGACAGGAATGTTTGGTCTTTAATTGGGTGCTTTTGCTTCCAAGTAAACTCAACTGCCAATTGTCACACAAGCAGAATATATCTCCCATATGCCAGGAACACATCTGTTTCAATATTTGCACATAAACACTCAAAGATTCTTTCCACCAACATTTGCTGCATAACCACTTTGTGCCGAGCACCGTGCTAAGTCCTAGGAATGAAAGGGCAGATAATACCTGACCCTGCCTAAAGTGGTTCATTTTCAAGTCTGTTGAGGAGGATCAAGATGTGCAATGAGCAATTAATTATCCACAGTGTGGTAAGTACTGTAATAGAAATATCTGTATAGGCTGTTTGAGGAAAATTCAGTAGGGCCTCCTCCCATGGTTACTGAAGAGAGTGTTTTCAGAGATGATAAGCCCAATCTGGAGCTTGCAATGATGAGGGATGAGAGGGTAGTAGGAAGGACATTTGAGGCAAAGGCTGTATAAATAGCATGGACGTGAGTTCTGAAGCAGTTAATTGAACACTTTAAATAGTTCTAAGTGACTAGTGAATGGGGAAAGGCTGAAGTTATAGTGGAATATTTTGTGGGATAAGACCACAGACACAGCCAGAGACCAGCTTATGGAAGGACTTTCGTACCTCATGAAGAAGTTTAGACTTTATCCAAAGGTAATGAGGAGTGGCTTAAACAACAGAAATTTATTCTTACATCCCAGGTAGCGCTAGTGGTAAAGAACCCACCTGCCAATACAGGAGACATAAGAGATGTGGGCTCCATCCCTGGGTTGGGAAGCTCCCTTGAAGGAGGGCATGGCAACCCACTCCAATATTCTTGCCTGGAGAATCCCATGGACAGAGGAGCTGGACGATCTATGGTCCATAGAGTAGCAAAGAGTCAGACATGACTGAAGTGACTTAGCTCATAGCACATGGTTGTAGAGGCTAGAAGTCTGAGATGAAAGTATAGACACGATTAGTTCCTTCTAAATTTGTGAGGAAGAATCTGTTCTATCCTCAATTTTGACCTTCTGGTGATTTTCTGACAAACTTTAGTGTTCTCTGACTTGTAGATACATCATCCTAATCTCTGCCTTCATGTTCACATGACATTCTCCCTATGAGCATGTCTGTCTCTAAATTTCCCCTTTTTATAAGGATACCAGTCATGTTGGAATAGGGAACCCACCCTACTCCAGTATTACCTCATCTTGGCTTAACTAATTACATTTTTTTTTCTAATTACACTTTTTAATGACCCTATTTCCAAAATCGTCAGATTTGGAGGTGTTAGGGGTTAGGAATTCAACGTGTGAATTAAGGAAAACATCACTAACAGAAGTCATTGAAGTATCTTAGGCAGAGTAGTTTTAGGATAATTAAACTTCCACTTTAGAAATATCACTGTGACAGGCAAGAAGAGTGTGGATCAAGTGACACTTGTATCAGCTAGCTTTTGCTATGTAACAAGCATCCCAGTGACATTCAACAGTAAACATTTATTTATCTTGCATTTACAGGGTTCAGCTCTTTTCACCTGGGTTGATCTGGGTGGCTCTACTTGTCTTAACTGGGTTGATTCACTGTGAGTTTGGTGGGGCTCTATTCTAGAGAAGGCTTCACTGGTGCACTAAAGCAAGTCCTACATGTCTATCATTCTTCTCCTGACAGAAGAACAAACTCCAGTGTACAAGACCATTTCAAGCATTTACTTGCATCACATTTCCTAAACATCCTATAGACAAAGTAAATCATATAACCGAACCCAAGGTCAAAAGGCTGAGCAGGTCATTAGCCCACAGTAGAGAGCACTGTAAAGTTACATGACAAGGATCATAGGTATAGAAAATGTATAGAATTGGACCAAATGATTGCAGTCTGTCCCCAAATGCAAATGGAGGTAGAGAGGTTCCCATAATAAGTCTAATGATGCTGAGAACATCTGATGTGATATTAGGGCAGTGGGAGTGGAAAAAGCTAAAAAGACATCTAAGCAAATGTATAATTGGCTGGGAATTCCCAAACACTTTTCAAAGACTTACCTTCAAGTTCTGTAAAATGGCTATTGTTTTCATTCTCTTTGTCATGTCCCAAGCTCAGCTGGACCTGAACCCAGCTCCCACCCACCCAGGGACTCTACAAGGTCACCCTTACCTCTGCTCATCAGGAGACTCAGAAGACACAACTGCAGAAATTTTAAAGACCCCCAATTTTTAAAATTGAACACAAAAAATTATACCAATACCTAGAAATGTCTGATATATAGCCTTCCTTCTAGGATCCTTTTAATTATGGAGACAACGAGCATTCTTTAGAGTTTAAAGGGAAATCTCTTGAGCTGGTTTTTTCTGACCTCATATGGTTCTCTGAACATTTGTATGCGGGGAAACTGAACTCTGTTTAGGGACTTGCACCTTTATGTCACACTATCTAGACTGCTCAGCAGAACTTCAAAGATAACTCATCTTATGGTGAGTCAGCAGCTCAGAACCTAGGGGAGACAAAGCCAAAATCAGTGCCCCACAGCCTCTCTTCTCCTCTGAGTGGCTTGACAAACATTCCCTGATGGGCTGCCAGCATCCATTTTTATAGCAGTTTCCTTTAGGGAAGGAGAGTTTTACAAGTTCATTCTTTAATATCCAGGTAGTTGCATCCCTCCATCTTTGATCCCCCCATCACCTTCTTTCCTAGGTGCCTGGTTCAATGTAGGAGCTTAATGAATGCTAATTCCCTTCCCCTCCCTTCTCATACCTTTCTCACTTCTTTTGTTCCAAGAACTCTCACTTTCTATTTATTTTTTTCTCTCCATATGTGCATATGTAGCATGTGTGCATATTCATACATGAATATATATACATGCATCTACATGCATATTCCCAATCAAGTATATAGAGTCTGGGGTCACCATTTTTCAAAAAATGAGATTGAACCTTTTAATTAACTTCACAGATCAGAAGTTCTTGGCCACATCTGCACCAATGTAGCAAGCAAAGTTTAAACTCCATGTGGGAAACTGATTACAAATTGTAAAGAAAAGCTGAAGCAGATATTATAGAGGTAGCCACTGTTTCCTTTCTGAAAGGGGCAAAGGTTTAGAAGGTATTAAATGACATGGTTACAAAATATATTATCTTCCTCTGCATCTCCCTGAGTTATGTTTATTATCAATGGGAAAAGTGGCCCCTTTGCCTCCATCCCCAGGACTGTTTAATGGGAGTGAAGAAAGTCAATTAATGAGTCTAGGGGACACCTCTGAAAATCAACTTTGTGTTATAAAATCCTTAGGTAATATAATTTACAAAGGAATTTTATTCATGGACTGTGCCTATACCAATTAATCAAACAGCTACAACTGAAGACAAAGACTTTTGAGAATCAATATATCCTTTATAGCCTCAGGAATTAGAGTGCCTTTTTAAAAATACAGTTTTACATTAAAATATGTTTTGTACTTGATAATGACCATCTACATTCCAGTGAACTGCTTTTCACTTCAGTCCATGAACATGTAACATCCCTGTGTGTTTAGGCATAAAGCAGGTTAATAGAGACACTCTGGTGCTGCTGCTCACCATGAGGAGTTTTCCTAGCATAGCACTTTAGGAAAGAGTATATGAACACTGGTGGCAATCAGTTTTCCTGGACTCTGATTGGTTTGCTTATTTTAGGGTGTGCACATCTAGCCCTAAAGACAGACACATACTGACTCTTGACCTAGAAACTGAGAACCCTCAGAGATATTTGATATAGACATCAGCACATGGCACTCTGTAAGCTGAGAGATTTCACCCTGAACCATCCAGAAAACTGCATACAAATCCCCTGACCCCACTCACATAAGTCTCAGTCTGCCTCTCAACCTCTTCCTCCCTCATACCCTCACCCACTATCCAGGCCTGGGGGCTGGTAATCTGGGCTAGACCCCAGGTTGCTTCCATCAGCTGTCTCTTCCTTGCCTGAGGCTTACTTGCAAAACCATGTACTTCTTTTTTTTTTTCTTTTTTTTGCAGATTAAAGGGTATCCTTTAATTTTCCTTCCAACTTCCTATAAAGTTTTAGATTTTTTTCAAAATTTCTTTTTCAACGAAGTTGATTTACAATGTTGTATTAATTTCTGCTATACAGCAAAGTAGTTCAGTTATATGTACATATACATTCTTTTTCATTTTCTTTTCCACTCTGGTTCATTACAAGTCTACCATCCCTTTTAACTAGAAATTCTCCTTCCCTTCCTGCAGTTTTCACCTAAAATTTACTCCCAACAGATACACATGAGCATATAATGTTAATTTAAGTAATTAACGTCTATGATGCATCAACGGGCTTCCCAGATGGCACAGTGGTAAAGAATTTGTCTGCCAATCCAGCAGACACAGGAGACTCAGGTTCGATCCACGGGTCAGGAAGATCCCCTGGAGGAGGAAATGGCAACCCCCTCCAGTATATTCTTGCCTCGAAAATCCCATGGACAGAAGAGCCTGGCAGGCTACAATCCACGGGGTCTCAAAGAGTTGGACACAACTGAGCACACATGATGCATTAACAGATACAAAGTCAAAGTGTCAGTTGCTCAGTCATGTCAGACACTTTGCAACCCCATGAACTGAAACCTGCCAGGTTCCTCTGTCCATGGAATTCTTCAGGCAAGA